AAAAAAAAAAAAAAAACAGAAGCATGGCTGCCAAGAAAGGGGCTTTGCGGTGGGGAGCAACGCAAAGATGCCCTGACAAAGCTGGAAGCTGGAGATCGATTGCATGCTGGCTTTTGGCATTACACCACACCTTGGCCTCCTGGGTAGCCATCGCTTGCTACCTGCGAGTGGATGAGTTCTGACGTCAACACTCAATTACCCTAACATGCTTTCACCTGCAATCTTCAGATCCTAGGCGGACTCGGCCATTGCAACATGGCTATCGCCACTTCATTCTGCACAATAAGCGATGTTGGAGGTTCAGGGCTGCTTAGCCCAGGCCAAACAAAGTGGCTGAAGCCCCGCGCATATTCCATGAGTCCCACTAAGTCGGCGCAAGAGTACGAGGCTGACGCTCGGTTGTTGCTGGATGTTTGGCTGCAACTGAGTTTGGTCATGCTCTCTTGAGACTCTTGTCTAAGGAACAGTTTCAGGCATCTACAACACTACAACGTCAATGGCTTGCCGATCGCAATCACGGACGCTCACAAGCTGTCGGATGCTGTGGGCCTTTTTCAGAAACCGGAAGGGGCCCCGCGCTCACTTCTGAGAAACAAACCAGGCGCTGTCGAGCCTCAGCAGGAAAAGGCGATTATTGCCGATATGGTGGCCGGGCTTGGCACACAGGCGTGACTCTGAGGAAGACACCGCCAGGAGCATTGGCGCCCGTGTTAGCACGTCCTTGCAGCACGCAATGAGCTTCTGGTGCTCGCGTCTGCTTATGGCTGGCTTGACCCAGCTCCTGCCCGATCAAGGCGCAGGGCTTGACAACTCCAAAGATCCTCGGCAGCATTGCACATGAAGCTTGTAGGGGCTTCCCTGTGATTCTTCTGGATTCCTCCGCTGCCGGTTGGCGATTGCTTCTGGTGCCAAGTATGGCCAGGCCAAGACATACATGCAATATCATGCAACAATCTCAGGGGCACTGCCACTCCTGGGCCTTTGGCTGCTCAAAGCTTGCCACGTCTCCGATAGCAACCTCGCAGCAGAGTGATGGCTGGAATTCTGGGCAAGAAGGAACAAAACATGTACATGTTGGAGGTGGACCATTGTGCCTCCGTAATGCCAACATCCCAGGCACCAGGAGGGTCCCGCCCGGCACCGTGCAACTGCCGAGAAGAGCACGGCTCTGGATCGGTCATGGCATGGCTACTTTGCACCGTTGCAATGGCAAAGTGCCTGCAAGTGCACCTCCACTGTGGGCATCAGGAGCTCTTGGCCCTTGGCATTAACCGAGCTGACACCTGACTCCAAATTGCTGGCGTGTGCAGTTGGGAGACTCCTGACACCCCAACTGCAACGTGGAGATCCGCATTTGGTTCAGGTAGGTGTTACTGTCAAGCGCTGGAGTTGGTTCACTGATGATTCGGCATCCACCTTGCAACCAAGCAAGTCTACGAGTAGGAAGCCATATAAGCCATGGCACGCACGTGAACCTTCGTACAGGAATATTGTAGACAGATTAAATCTCAGTTTCAGATCCCAAAGTGCATGAGCAAGACGAGCTGTGTAGTTTTTCGTCACTAGGGTGAAAGAAGTTGTGGCGGGGAATCCGATTCTTTGATCTGGATCACTGGAGTGGAACTTACGTCGAGAGTCTTTTGCCGCTTTGGGCATTGGCAAGCACCCAGGCATCTGCGCATAGCTCGTACAGTAAAGAAGCAAATGCAGCCCCAAGAATATGTGCAGCAGAACCTGAAGGAGTAGTCAGGGATACCGTCGGCTTCTCTCCAGGCAACGTTTTGTGCACTAACTGCCTTTACTGCCCGCAACTGCGCGTGCAGCCGCTGAACCTCAGATTTTGCAGTTCGGAGCTGAGCCTCCGTCCGCCGAAGAAGCATCGTCTGGTCCCCGGTGTCGCGCTGATCGCGTGCGGGCGGAGGAGGTATCCGGCGGCAAGCCTCCAGGATGTCGCCTTCCGTAATCTCCAGAGAAGGATTGGTGGCTGAAACCACGGCCTCACGTGCGTCTAGCGACTGCTTTGCAAAGTCGAAGAGACGTTCGCACAGGCCACCATTCATCATCTCACGGGCTTGTTCCAACGTATTTGATTCAATGACTGCAGCCAGCCGATGAAAATTGTTCGTAGCGAGCGATGGTGCTAACTTGAAGCCAGCTCCTTCAAAGCGGGGACGGAAGCTTAGCTCGGGGAAGTCTTTGGGCCGACAGAACCTAACTACCAGTACTACAAAAAAACAATCCCGCAAACTTGACTTTGCCCTGGACAGGTCCTCGAACGATGGAGTTCAGAATCTCTGATAGCTCTCTGGGAGAGTAATCGCTAAAATCAAAAGTGTACCCGATGCGCCGGTACAGGCCTGAGTTGGCCTGCATGAACAAGTCCATGTCGTCTGCATATCCGGCAAAGACCATGATGGGTGCCTTCTTGAGGGAGCTTCATAACTTAATTCATAAGGAGGAATGGAAGTTTTTAAAAACAGAGCTGCACTTGTACGGTCGGATGCCTTACCGGGAGGGTCATTCATGGCACCCATAAGCTGCTCGATTGCTTCCCGGCCAAAGTCGCTCTTTCCGTTGTCTTGGCTCAGCCGGTACGCCTCATCAATAAAAAGGACACCCTGCTTTGCCTGCTCGATGACTTTTTGGGTCTTCGGTCCAGTCTGCCCGACCTGAATCATGAATGCGGAGACCCACTGCACGGATAGCGCGGGAGCAGCTTCACGAATAAACTGAAGCAAACTCTACCTAAATGCTTGCACATTTCAGTCTAAGAAACGTATTCAGCAACAAGCTTGTCCCGTTGCACCTCGACAAGCAAGTCCGTCTGGACGATGCCAATTCGGTGCAGCAGTTGCGCAATGACCCTGGCAAGAGACGTTTTACCAGTGCCTGGGTTGCCCTGGAAGATCATGTGATACTTTCCACCCGTCTTCACTTTGTGCCCAGCATCCTCACGCTTCTTGTCCAGGACCACGGAATGGTGAAACTGTCGTATTTGCTGCTTCAGCAGCTCAAGACCCACAACCTAGGTCAACAGCAACCTGCTTCATAGTAACATGTTGCATACCTGTGCTGTCCATGCACATGCTCGCAGGCTTTGAGACTGGCCTTCTAAGAGGCCATGACTGGATAGTTGGTCAGCATAATTTTTCAAGACAGACGTAAAAAGACCCTATGCGGCTTTACAGACGTAAAAAGAACCTGTGCAGTTTTGTTGTCAGACTTGCGGCTCCGACGCGCAATGGTTGGCTGGTACGTATTGTTCTTGCGCGATTCTAGTCAAAATCTTGATAGTTCCGCGAGCACGCATGTTCAATCAAAGATCTCAAGGGCACGATGAGATGGAAAGCCAATCACCATCTGCAGACCATCAAAGCTTTGTTTTTCAATGCGCTCATTGTGGTACGAAGTACGGAAAGAAGCCCAAGCCATGCGACTCCAACGTGCGTGCGGAAAACTGGGCTTTTGCCGCGGAAGCTCAGCTCAGGTGGCCTAAGGCATATCTCCTGTGCTCGCCTTCGCATATGGTGGAAGCTTTTCTTATGCATTTACTCCGCAGAGCTGTGCCAGAAGCCTGCTGTAAAACCAAAACCCCCCCCACGCGCGGAAGACCGCGGAATTGTGAGTTTCCTTATTTTGCACTTCATATACCAAAAAAAAGGCAGGAGAGCCGCAGCTCATCTTGCTCTGCCCTACAAGTAAAGTTCAATCAACACACTCATGTCGCAACGCCGCAGTCGAATCGTTGACTGGAATACAACTGAGCCCAGAGCACGATCCAATTGGTACTCAAGCCACTCCCCAGTACCGCCAGCATAGACTTCCAACTCAGCCCAGCTGACGGTGGAGGACATGCTGAGGTCAATTTCCGAAAACTTCTCCAACAGCGGCGGGAAAACAGCCTTTCCAAAAGCTAAGTGCTCTCAAGGAGTGCAAGCTTGAAGCAGGATTGCTCTGTGCGTGTGCCTGGATCCGTGCACGGTGCTTGATGAGATCAGCCACGCGGATCTGTCCAGCAGGACCTGCTTCAACAATTGTGAGACAACTTCTATGTGCTTCTTGGGAAAAACCCACAGCCTGCAACCTCATCGAACATCTTTCGCAACTGCACCATGTCAACTTTGCGTTGTCGATCCTCGGCAGTCGCTGCCTTCCCAACACAGTATTCCAGGAAAGCCGCACGTGTCACGCGCCCATCTCTCGCAACAGATTCGTACTCGCGTATGAAGTCCGGACATTCGGCTTCCAAAATCTTAGCTTGCTTCAGCACGTCATGAACAGTCACGAATCCGCGCTTGCCTGTATCAAGCTTGTCCCACACTCGCACTGCCTCCGCCTTCGTCCTCTTGCCAGATGATGGTCTTGTTGGGCTATACTTTTTCGGCCCCCTCTTCATGCCGTATTACGGATGGCCAGCAAGTATACCAACCAACCCAGCAAGCGGCGCACCAAACGGAGCCATGCAAGACTACTGCCGGGCCTTGGATTGAACAGGGAAGCTGTTCTGGCACTGCCAGTGGATTCTTATGCCAAGCTACGGGCATGCTTGTTGTGAGTTTTGCTTCCGTTAGACCGCGAAACCATAGAACTGAAGCCATTTCAGCCCCATATCACAGCTTGTCTGCAGACATCCCGAAATGCGCTGAGGGTGGAGGCTATGGTGGGCAGGCGCAAGCCCAGAAACTGCTGGAAACCACACTGCTGTTCAGGCATTCTGGATACTACCTAACGGGCACAATCTGCGGTCCCGGAAACGGCTTCAACTACCACTAAGCTCGGAAATGGGTATTCCCATTCCCGAGGCAGCTAGCAGGACTCCTAGCAAACTTCCAGTAAAGCAGCAGACATGCCTGAAAGGAAGGGCAAGTTGAAATGTGCCACCAGACTAAGCAGAACTAGAAGTGCATGCTGCGCAGTTCGTGTTCGTGCAGGACAAATGGAACGGGGATGCAGGGGGCAACGTTGCAGCAGGAAGAGTTCCCCACATGATTGTGTGCTACACTTTCTTTTTAAGAAGGCCTCAAACGTCCTTTGCTCCTTAAGTAACCACAATAACTGAGTTGATTTGGGAGTCACGGCATCGCAGGAAACACTAGAATATCAAGTCCGATTGAATCGTAGAAATCCGTCTTCTCCAATATATAGCTTCTGACCCAGTCATCATGCCATGATATTGTCTTGATCGTCGGATCTTGCAGGAAAGACGTTCTGGAAGCGAAGCTTTTTGATGGCATGCGAAACTGCCCATGGATCATTGTCATCACTTCGCCATCCGATAAACAGTATTTCTAAATTCTAGGTCTACCTTGCCTTCGGTAACTCTCTCGAACTGAAAACCCAGCCATTTGCAGCCGCCTCCTTTGGTTTGAGTGATGTGCTGCACGTGATCCTTCGGACGTGTTCCGTTCCGTTCGTGGTTAGCTGATATCAGTTGATCCGATGGAGAACGGCCTTCCCCAGATTCAAAAGCACCTCGGCAGCGGCGCAGTTCAGCACCTTGGCAAAGCACAGTCTGGAGTGTGGAGACGGGCAAGGAATCTACTCCCGGTATTTTCACAGCATCCAGTCACCCAACTTCAACGCCTTGGTGTCAAATCCCACGAGTATCATGAAGACGCCATCAGATGGCAGTTCAACGCCTTGCTACTGGTAAGTATTGGTGGATGGGATACTTTGCCCTGATCACATTTTGGCTGCCTAGATGGCTATGGTCATTGCCAAGGATATGCGATGCCTCACACTTTTGGCTCTATCGCGTCGGTTGTGTATTCACAGCCGTACTCTTTCTGACCCGCCCTGTCAAAACAGATTAGTCATGTGAAGGGTCGTTGTGAAACCCAGGCGTCATCACTATCCATCCTACCTACAGTAACTGTTTCTGAGGAATATTCTACCAGAGAACCACTGCCATCAATTCTGATCCGTGGGGTCGGGGGACGCCAATAACGAATCATAATCGTGGAGCTTACAGATCAATTCGATCAATGTGCATAGTCTGGAACTGGTACGAAACGATTTCCGACAAACCATCCTTAATTTGAAATGGTTGTCTGACAATTCAAGTATTAAGCGCATTGCATGCAGTCACCACAGTAAGGCCAGGTCGGTGAATGAAGCTCCGGTGTCTATGACTCCGCAAACACCTGCGCAACACTTGACAAGTGAGAAGCAGCGCGTGGCGGACAAGGGGTTGCTGAGTTGGCCGGCTGCCCGATGATTTGGGCAAGCCCACACGAACGCCAAGAAGGCGAGCAGGCAACGGAGCTGCCACAAGATCAGGCGTGTTGTAGAAAGTGGCTGTTTTGCAAAAGAACGCCTGTTGTCAGGCTCACCATGTTGCCCGCAACCGCCAACCTCTCTCCGGAGTCTGCCTCCAAGAAATCTCTCACACTATGATTGCAACAAAGCCTGTGAAGGCCTGGTACAACCGGAGAGCAGATGAATCAACTTCCACCTGAGAACCCAGCGTGGCTAATTATCCAGACTAAGATTTTGTTTTGCTGTTAAGGATGCTTCCACGAAGCGCTCGTAGAACTCCATGCCTCGTCACTATCTTTGCTGAATGGCAAATTGAAGTCATACGCCATTATGTCAAGCTGAGATGGTCAGATGCTGAATCAGGCTTGTGATGCCGGGCGTTAAGGATGCGGGTATATGTGTTTTGACTGGCTGATCCTCTGGTGCTGCTGCCAACCATTGACTCTTGACTTCATCCAACCTTTAACACAAGTTTCCTGCTGCAAAGCTCCCGGCCCAGCATTCCGTCGATTTGGATGTTCATGGAGTCTGCTATCCTCTGATTCAACATCACACAAGCTGGGTCTCTATGGTGCAACCTACAAGTTCCAAAGCAGATACTCGGGAGTACGCGCCTTCGCTGTGGGAAATCCATCACGAAAGGTCTGCAAGGTGATTCACATTCAGTGGCAGATGCACTGCGTATCAATCCAAGCCAGGTTGGCTTGAGTGGACCAACTTGAAGACCTGTGTGGAAGCACAGGTCATCCAGCGCCACCTCGCCACCAAGAAACGACAAGCACATCCAGCAAGGCCACTTGCTTTGCAAAACATGCCAGAGCTTGCTGTGGGGATGCGGCCTGGTACTTGCAGGGTCCTCTGAAGGCTGCAACACGGTACATAGGGACAGGCAGTATGCAGTGGGCGCTGCCAGCACAGGCACGCAAGCGCAAACCTGCCTTCCAAGTAATTCCAGTTGGTCAGCTTTGTCCGGGCAGATGATGGAACTGTCAAGAACATTTGGTCAACACCTGATCTCGAGAATAATCAACAAGCAAGGAACACGTTGTCAAGCCACTGTCAAGCATGAAGTTGAGCTTCACCTGCCCAAGTGTTCCGGGCTTGTTCTGCATGCAGGCTTGACGTGCGCAGCATTGATCTTGCTTATCCTGTAACCGGCCCAGACATCTTGTCTTTGCCTAGAGGCAGCCGCCAGCAGCATCATGCAGCATCACAAGCATACGATGGCATTGGAGTCTTCAGGGCTTAATCTCTTTTAGAATCTGAGCTCTGTTCCCTTACAAGCACACAACTAGCAGCGCGTACAGTAGAAACGTTGTAGAACCGTACTGCCCTGAGCAACGCGTACAGCCACAGGACCTCATCCCGCCCGACCAGCTCCAGCATGTCATATCCTTGCCCCAAGAACTCCTCACGTTGCAGCACTTCTACAGTCCTGCAGCACCAGCTGTCCACATCACTCACATCTTGACCAGGCACCTAGCCCTTTGTCTCTGCAGCGGTATGAAGAGAGATCGTTCATCCCATGCCATAGCACAATAAGTTGCCTTGGCAAGCTTGAATGCCGATGGACATGAGGTTCTTCGACTGACGCCGCAGTTCTGTTGGGCCAGTCATCTCAAAAAACTATGTACATGTGCGAACTTGGCTCATGCGAATAAAGATTGTCGTGCACGATCCCCCATGACATTATATCACAAGTGTAGGTGCAGGAACGAAGTTCACAGCCATATCATGGCTCTCTTGAAACAGCGCGTTCAGCACTACGAGTCCGCTCGCCGACTGGGAGGCCCTCTCGTCTCAGCCTCGAGGCGAGTAGTCTCGCATAAGCTCGACCACTTGCTGAACACAGGCATCTATTGGGGAGCCTAGGTCTGAAATTCTTCTCTGCCAACCCGATGGAAAGCTATCTCAGCGGTTTCCGGACATCAGCCTTTTCACAGAATGCTTCCAAAATATCCCGAATGTTTCTACAGACCAAGAGCATTCCGACATACAGACCTCGACCAGCTGCTGCTGCCCTAACCAGGGGGTATGCAAGCTAACAAGGGGGGATATACAAGCTCAACGCACGTCAAAGGGTCCAGTACGGTCCTAATATCATGTGTCTCCTGGCATCTGCAAGCCGTGCTGTATGAAAAATACACAATCTTAAGTCCTGGGCTTTCACAACCGCTGATTGCACGAATGGTTTGTAAGATGTCAATCATCCCGCAATGTGCATCTGCCATCACCTCCATAGGACAAATGGCTTGCTTCTGCAGGAGGAGCCGCCTCAACTCGGGTTTGAATGCTTCTAAGATTAAAAAAAACACAAACATGCACGAACACGGCTATCACTGCGCCTTCCCTTTGCATCCAAGGCCAGGATCACTTGCTGCAAAGCTTCCTGGAGAAATCACACTGCACTGACTGAGTTCCGCCGCGGAAGCTTGCCTCCCCACTGACCGCTATTGTGGGATCTTTGGATTGCAGCCTTAGTTTGGGAAGACGATGGATCGCCTTTTCCAGTGCCGCTTCCGGTCTCTGTATCTGAATGACCGGGTGTCACACTTTGACAGTCTTGCGCGCAACTCCTGAATGTGCTTGCGGCAAACTCTGGACTCAAAGTGTCACAGGACAAGCAACACCATGCTCTTCAGCTCCTCTGCCTGTCTTTCACAAATAGATCGGTTCGTTTGATCTTGCGCGTCAGCTGTCCTGACTGCAAATCACATGCGGCAGATCAACTGAGGCAGACAGCCACAGCGAAAACAGAAGAATGCCGGCCACACCGAGTGCTCCTGATCTGGTCAGTTTGAGCTTTAGCGCGGACCTGCTCAAGCTCCTGCCGCAAAATGCCAAGGGTTCTGTCAACACAAATAGAAGCACAGCCGCGCTGCCACTGCATGGTGGAATCGAATGATGGTTCAGTCATGATTTGATAAGTGTCAAGATACTAAAGCTTGCTTTGCAGCATCCTCTTCCAGGTGTTTCACTTGCACCTGCAAGAAGCGATGCGAGCCAGCCAATGCAGTGCACAGGAGAGCATGACCTCCACTTTGCTTGTATCAAGGCGGCTCGCCAGGAATTCAGCCTTCTCAACACTCGATGTGTTAGCACTTGAAATTGACGGGAGATATGAGTAACAACTCACTGATAACTTGGACGGTTATTTGATTTGCAAGACTTGGAACCTTCAATATACTGACTACGTCCAGACCTGCAGCTGATGTTCTTCCGACAGGAGTCCTTCCAGGACCTCGCAAGGCGTGGAAAACGGTGGCGAGCAGATGCTTGAAGATTGAGCGTGGGCCTCGCTGCGTGCACTAGGCCCGGCCAGCGCACCAGCGTCGCAGACCAGGGCACCTACACCGTGCAACTTGACAACTAGTCGTGTCTTCAGCCTGCCAACCTGGCCTGACTTCCGCAGTTCAGCTGCTAGATCTTCTGCGATGACATGTAACCGCTGCACTTCGCTGAGCTGAGCATTCGTCTTGTCCAACTTCTGGGTCTCTTCCATCAACTCTTCAGAATGAGCTTGACTGTCCTCGTCTTTTTGCACAGCTTGAGCTTTGATGTTAGAGTCGTCTAGCATGTCCACGATGTGCTCCTCTGTCTCCAGACACAAAGACTGCATAGACTGAAAAGTCTCTTCCAAGCTTGCCACTGTTTCTTGACTCTCAAAGAGCTGATCCTTCAAGTCAGCGGCAATCTGCTCTTGAAGCGACATACCCATGGCACCCGCTTCTTGCTGCGCATACTCCTCCTTTAAACGCAGCTGTTCAAACAGCTGTAACTCACCTGTCGCCCTGCTGTCCCTTGCGAGCCGTATCTCTGAGCGCAAGGTCGCCATCTTTGGATCTTGTCTCATTCTCTCTAAGCATGCCTGCTCTTCACGTCGGACTTCCTTTCTGAGGCGGGATTTGTTTTCATAATCCTCGGCTGCTTGCAACTGTTCCTGGACAGACTCCGTCTCTTGAGCCTGTGCACGAGCGCTTTCACCCAGAACAAGCAGGCGCTGCTGTAATTCATCAACCTGAGTCTTGGCTTCTTTCAGCTCCGAGGCATACCGAATCTGTAGGAGTTTGGCTTCTTCGCGAGCGGCCTCTGAGCACCTCTCCCTCAGCTGTACATCCTTTTCCGCCAGAGATTTTCTCAACTCAACTGCAGCAACTTCCAAGCGTCTGCGTTCCTGTTCAAAGACATCCACAGCCAGCTGAGCGGCCATCTTCCTACAAACAAGCTATCTGCACAGCATCATGTCGAAATCAAGCCAATATGGGCTGCGGGAGATCAATAGAATCACTAGAATCCCTGCAGTGGACTGCAACGCCCCCTGATCCTAGATACAGCCTCGCAAGGCGGCGTCCTCCGGAAGATGCATCAGGCGGCGGTCTTCCTGCACTGCACATGAGGGCACCTGGTTTTCGCTCTCTACTCACAGCTGCCACACACAGTGCCTAAAGCAGAGCAGACTGATTAGCAGCAATAGCAGGAGGGCCTCCAGCAGGGGCTTGGGAGAGCTTTGAAGGCGTGGTGCTGATGCAAAAGCCTAGTGTCTCGGGCAGGCATGATGGTCTCAAGGTGCAGTCAAGGTTGCAGCCGAGAATATGATCCAAGGAGCTTGTTGCCAAAGCTGTCTGCCTTCAAACAGGAACGGAAACTTAACAACTCTCCAGCGCATTGCATTGCCAAACTGGATTACATTGTTGGCCGTAACAAGGTGAAACTAAGAACTCATTTGGTTTGTGCGGCTAGCTCGGCCAAAGCTAGACAATCAGACAATTTGCAGACCAACCGAAATCTCCAATCAAATCACTCAACCCCGCTCATTACGCTGTGTGTTGCACTC